ACCCCCACTGTCATGATCCCAATTCTACCTTACAGGTCTGGCTAGACCAGAGCATGTGCATGGGTACAGATAAGAGTTGGAAACACAGGGAATCCAGGACAGATAAACTCCTCAGGACCAATAATGAGAGTGGTGATACGGGGAGGGTAAGGGGATTGGGTGGGTGGGGGGCGGGGAAGAAAGGTAAAACCAATCACAATGGTCTGTGTATGGCCTCCTTCCTGGGGGATGGACAGCAGAGCAGTGGGTGAGGGGAGACATTTGTCAATGTAGGCCATGAAAAAATAATAATTCATAAATTGTCAAGGGTTCGTGGAGGTGGGAGAGTGGGGCAGGGTGGGGGAAAAGAGTGAGGAGCTGATACCAGGGGCTCAGGTAGAAAGGGGTTTTGAAAATGATGGCAGCAAATTTACAGGTGTGCTGAATGCCATGGATGTATATCTGTATTTTGAAAAGAGCTGTATGAGCCTCTAATTAAAAAAAAAAAAAGTATGGTCAGATGCTCCTTACAGGCAAGGATGACAAGACTTCATCTTACATCCATTGGACATGTCGTCAGTCTCAGGAGGACACCATGCTTGGTAGAGGGTCAGCGATGAAAGGAAGAGCCTCCAAGAGGTGGGTTGACACCCTGGCTGTAAACAATGAGCTCCAACGTGACAATTACGAGGCTGGTGTAGGACTGGGCAGTGCTTAGTTCTGTTTCACATGGGGTCGTTATGGGTGGGAACCTACCAAGAGCACAGAGCTGAAGTATCTTGTTCTCGCCAACCTACCAGGCTCCCGTTAAGGCTCCTACTGTCACAGTAGGACTCCTTCAAATCCTATCATCCCCCTGGGGATTGATGAGCCTGAGCTCATTCTACTCCCTTGCCTAGAACATCTATCTTGCTTCTCTTGGTTCCACTTCCTTGAGAAAATCTTTTCAATGGTGACAGGAAGAATAAATAGCTCTTTCTACTGTTTCATAATCCCATTATTCATAATATATTTCCCCCACCCCCTCCGGGATTTGGTTTATGAGACTCTCTCAGAAGACTATGCACTAGTTAATGGTAACAGAGGCCTTCCCCATCCCCCACCCCCATCCCCTTTTTAAATTGTTAGTCCCTAGATGGTTATGAGGAGGCTTAGTGGCATAGTGGTTATGGGTTGGGCTACTAACCACCAGGTGAGCAGTTCAAAACCACCAGTTTGTCCCAGGGAGAAAGACGGGACTTTCTACTCCTGAAAGAGTCACAGTCTCGGAAACTCACAGGGGTCTGCCCTGTCCTAGAAGGTCTCCATAAGTTGGCATCACCCAATGGCAGTAAGTTAGTTGGTTTGGTAAGGGTTGAGTACAATGCTGAGTACATATTTTCCAAGATTTCTAAATCTTTTTAACAACCCAATCACTAAAAACCAAATGCTGCTGAATCAATTCTGATTCACGGTGACCCAGTGTGTGTCAGAGTTGAGTTGTGCTCCAGGGCATTGTCAGTGATTGGTTTTTTGGGGGGTGTGGTAGGTGGCCATTTCTTTCTTCTGCATCAAATGTGAGTGCACTTGAAGTTCCATCCCTCTGTTTAGCATCTGGACTTAGTAAACCATTTGCACTTTCTTGGTACTCCTAACAGCCCTATTAGGAAGGAACTATTATTAATTTATTTTAATGATAAGGGAATTGAAGAACTGAAAGATTAAGAAACTTCAATAAGGCTGCACTGCTAGGAAATGAGCAAGACAGGTTTCAAACCTAGGCGTTCCATCCGGCTGTCCTTGGCACCCAGCAGTGCCTCAGGAGAAAGGTCTGGCATTTGACTTTAGAACTCAGCCAATAAAGCCCCACAGTGTTATGCTGGCACACCTGGGGCTGCCATGAGGTGGCAAAGACTCTATGGCCACAGGTAGTCTTGCTGGAGAATGAGTTTTCCAATTGCTTCATACTGAGAGTTGGCATATTGAAATTACCTCCCTGGGCCCAAATTATTAAATAGTATTTTTATTCAATAAAAGGGGGCTTCAAAATGTTTAGTGAAAAAATTCTACTATCTTTTAATTTCATTTTCTCAAGAACTTTCAAGAACTGGCAAGACAGCCCGGGGAGAGGGTTCTATGATGAAAAAAAGGTGAGAGGTGAGGACTCAGGGTGCCTGGCCCGTTTGTGCTCAGACCCAGTCTTGCAAAGCCACCAACCTCTGAAGCTTCCACCAATCCCTGGCCCCCAACTTCAAGATGTGGAGGGAATGCCATTTTTGCCAGTGTGTTGGATTTCGATTACCAATGGAAATGTTTATTTTGAGGCGAGGAGCGGAGAGGTTTAAGGAAAAGGAAAAGCACGTGGATTAAGCCTCTATTGAATTCCTTTGAATTATTGAGTCTACCTGGGAAGAAAGACTCGTCCTCTTTTTCCAAGAAGCAGTTGGAGGTTTTGAACTGCAGACTTGGCTGTAAGTAGCCCAACATTTAACCACCCTACCACGGGGATTCCCCTAATGCAGAGATGATTAGGTTATAATATAGCATCTTTCCCCTTTGACTCCTTTTTAACTGATTCGAGTTATTATTTTCTGCTTTCTTTTGGATCAACATTTCTCTGTGTTTTACTTTGTTATTGTTATTGGGGCTCACAGTGTTGCACATGAAATCCAGAATAGGTAAGTCTATAGAGACGGTAACTAGATTACTAGTTTCTTAGAATTATGGCAGGGGAGGTGGAGAAAATGGGAGCTAATGAGTAAAAAAATGAAGGAACTGTCCTATGATGGATTGTGGTGATGACTGCACAACTCTTTTAAATACATTCAAACCATTGCACTGTATGTTATATGAATTATATGTCAATAAAACTTAAAAATAAAGCATTGCTCATTGTCAATGTGAAGGTACACGCAGAGAGTAAACTCTCAGTGATTTTTTTCTTAGCAGAGTTTGAGAGAAAAACTGTAAACTTCTGTGATTAGAATAAACTAGTCTACCCACAAAGCCCATATCTCTAATCTAGTCAACTGAGCTTCAAAATAAACATTTACAAGCAAACAATACCAGTCAATGCATATATGCTTTTAAAGTCCTGCAGGCTGCTCTTGTCAAGATAACAAGAAATGTGAATGGCGTGAGACTTTGCACCAGGGCACTGATAATACTGCTGTCTAATCTCCCCTTTGGGGGGGGGGGCACGACAAAATGTCCCTTATAGAAGGAATTGCAGATGAAAGACAATATTCCTCTTTTCCCTATCCATTGGTAATCGAAATCCAACACACTGGCAAAAATGGCATTCCCTCCACATCTTGAAGTTAGGGGGCGGGGATTGGTGGAAGTTTCAGAGGTTGGTGGCTTTGCAAGTCTGGGTTTGAGCACAAACGGGGCGGGCACCCTGAGTCCTCACCCCTCACCTTTTTTTCACCATAGAACCCTCTCCCCGGCTGTCTTGCCAGTGGAACTCAGGGTCGGTGGCTATCATCTCCCCAGGACCCAGCCGCCGCCCAGAGGCTACTTGGCCTCAGCCAAGATGACCAGGCCCATTTGAACTCCGTGGCCCCAGGGAGGCGGAGACAGCGGGAGCAAAAGACGCAAGGCCAGGGTGTGTGAAGTCACCGGCAGACTCGGAGGCGCCCTAGTGCGAAAAGGCGGATTTGCCTTTTCCCTAATTCAGTATGCCTGGCTGTCCCCACTCCCCTGCCCTCCCTGGGCGCAATCCTAAAGCTGGCCAACTGCCCTTCATCGCCTCTACACACTGTGCGCTTCAAACCGACAGGCCCAAATCCCTAATCACCTCGTCACGGTCACGGTCTCCCCCTGGGGCCCAGCGAAATCTACAGCGCGGTGGACACCGCCCCAGTCAGCCTACACGTCCTCAGATCCCGCTATAGGGCCGGCCACGTGGATGGGCAGTGACATTCAACCATCGGCCGGAAAAACCCTAGCCCACGGTGGAGTTCCCCAGCCCCCAAGGTCACCTGCCTGCCGCCGTGGCAGCGCCCCCTTCCCTACTCTGTCTCGACGCGCGCTTTGGGTAGGTCGGTTGTCTCCAGCCATCAAACAAGGTCCTGGAGTCCCCACGAGTGTGACTGTGGTGTGAGCAGGGGGGCTCTATTTATACCCGAGGGAGGCCTCCGTCCCCACGCTCCAGAGCAGTCAACAGCTGCCTCCAGTCTGCAGCGGGGGCGTTTGCTCCCGTCTTCCTTTCAGGCAGGCGGTGGCTGGGTCGTCCGCCGCCGAAACCACTGACGGCCTCTCTCTTGCATGTGGTCCCTTCCTCGGCCGCACGCTACCGTGACAGCCTGACTTTGACTTTCCCCCTTAGGAGGGGAAGGCTCGCGGAGGGGCTGCCGGCCTGCAGCCCCGCCCCGGCCACCCTCCCTGCTGGCGC